CTCTGGAACGGCTGGACCGATTTTGATGGGACTTTCACTGACAGGTAGCTGATAATATAAAGAATAACTTAGGCTACTTTTTTAGACTAACTTCGCCCCGCGGCGTCACCCGCGGTACGACTATAACCGCGAGTAACATCGCGGGACTCAACTATCAATAATAAAATTTAATGTTTCCGAAGCGAAGCGAGGGCGGGTCGCTAGTCTTAAATAAGGCTTATCAATTGTTAGCTTTCATACTTAGAGTTGGTACTTAAAGACTTAAAGGCCGTTTACCCTTCTTTATTACACAATATTTTTATTCGTTCTGTATAATTAGCAACATAGCACCGTCACTTATTATGAAATGTATATAAAGTGAATTGAAAGACTGAAGATTTGAAACATTTATTTCGAAGGTTGATCATAGGTTATTATTGAACGACCAATGATTTTTGTACAGTATGAAAATAATCAGTTTGAATCTGTCTAACAAACTTTCCTTTATCACTACATAGTATAAAACAAAGTCGCTTTCTCTGTCCCTTTATCCCTATGTATGCTTAAATCTTTAAAACTACCCAACGGATTTTGATGCGGTTTTTTTTAATACATAGAGTGATTGAAGAGAAAGGTTTATATGTATAATAGCATCCATTAAATAGTGGACATATCAATAATAAATTACAGTTTCCGAAGCGAAGCGAGGGCGGGTCGCTAGTTATAAATAAATTCAGTCGTATTTCCGCGCGTTCTAAACTTCTAACTGTCCACAGCTTGAATAAATTTTCTCGTAACAATCGTATAACGTGAATGATACGAAATTCTCTAATGTTTACTTTTTGTATCACCTAAAAAATATGAAAAAGGCTATTTGGTATTCTGTAAGATGATTTACAGCCAATCTTCAGTATCTACTGGTTTCCTTTGGCAACGGGGAAAACGTTTGTTGTTTCTGTTGTAGGTACGTAGGTATATTTATTTATAGTGCTGTTAGTTTCCCAAATAAAATAAACGCAGGTAATATTTTTAATGTTTTAATATATTCAAGTCTCATCGTCCCGCTAGTAGGAACGGAGGTGGCGGATGCCAGCTGATTTTTAATTGTTACTGAAATTGTGTCCAAAAACGCCTATACTCGTAGGTATAGCAATTTTTATGTTATCATGTCAGTTACTAACACCGTCACCTTTTCATTTTTGGAAACAGTTTCCCTCCCTACTCTACATAATAAGGTATTCAAAATGCAAATTTGTGTCCTCATACTTTTTTTTTGTCGAAATATTACTCTGCATGAAACAATTCCAACCCTGATAAACACTGCTGGATATGCATAAGGAAATACCTAACCATTTCCGAGCGGTCAAGGTCCTTGAGCCGACATAAGTACGACTAAAGCACTCTGTTTACGTGTCTGCATAAATTATGGAAAACTTTTACTTGCCTTTACAATCAATTAAATATTATAAAAGACTAAAAGAACTATTGGTCTAGCTTTGTTGTGAATTATCTATTGATAACATCCTATATGTAAAAGAAATCTTGAAGCTTAGAAGATTTTCTTTAGCAATTCTGTGGCAATTTTTGGCCACGCTTTTGATTTTATAATATTTATTTTCTCATCTATCGTCCGTCCATATTAGTAATATAGGGCTTATTTTTCTGTGGAATATTCCTCCTAATTCCTATGATCATTACTCGCCAATAGTAGGTGCGGGTTGTGACCCCGACATTCTCAAGTCAATCCTACAATCTTCTAGTTGCGGTAGGAATTAGGGAATTAGGTAATATAGAAATTTAGATGAAGGTATTCGGGTATTTATCAGCCATTCACTTGCACTACTATAGCTTCTGTATAGCTAGAATCAACAGCAACCACACGAAAAGAGTGATTGATGAGAGTCAAGCTTCCCGAGTTAATTTATTTTGGGTTCCGCAACCAAGTTAATTACAAAACCGAAGGAGACGTGGAATATTAAGAAATAGACTTGCCTCTTTACAATTTGGGAAACAATAAAATCTGAAATTCTTTTTAGTCTATGCTGATAAAGTAAAAGAAGAAGAAATTTAAAAAAATAATCGTCACTTACTAACATCCTATAGATGAGTATAGTACTACTACGGGGGGATTTTATCCTATACTAGGCTCAAACTAGCTGGATACACTATTATTATTAAGATATTTTGAGCTTGAAAACACGAATGTCATGCTAATAAGCAAATGTACATAACGCTCTGTGTTATATATTAATCTTACATTTATGAGATCAACTTATTGTCATTATTTATATCGAATTGACCTTAAGAATCTTTTTTTGATTGTTTCTTTACTGTACTTTGATAATTTTCACTTTTCTTTATAAAATTATTACATTTATAACAGAAATCTCTCGTGTTTGTTCACATTTAACCTAGAAATGTTGCCTTGGCGTAATTTATTTGCACCTGCCTGTACCTTTTAAGTGGATTAAGGTTAAACTATCAAATCACATTTTCATTTGTGAAGATAAATAGCATTATAAAATTTAACACAAAGTCAGGTACACTAGCATACCGTAGGTAAAATTTATTTAAGTGTTTGTAAAGATAACGTATCGTGATAAGCGTCTCGATTTTTTTTTTCTTTTTATCAATAGTACAATACGGATAAGAAACGAGTAAAAAAATTCAGCCAAATGCAATATCAGTTATTAAATCGCAGTAACAATGCAACTTATTTTCTGTAATAAAATAATTTATGACCAATACGCGCCATTGTATATAATTTTACTATCAAATTCAAAATAAAGTATGTGCCGTTGTTGCCACCACATTTTGGATCAATTTGGGGCGCCTAAAAATTAAAATCAACAACAGAATAATTGGTTACCATCGCCTTTGTGATGTTTCTCATAACTGTTACTATGAATTTGTATATCCCTAAATATTTTACACAATATTGAGATTATAAAATACAATAGAGTCTTCGATTCAAAATGCGCGTGGCGCAATTCGCGGTGATTTTTTTGATAGCTTAAATAGGTGACGAGCTCACGACTCATATGATACGATTATGGGAATATACCTGTATATTGTAACACAAATCTTACAGAGCTAAATATTTTATGTACTGCTACATACACGTTTAAAAGTACAACGAAATGCTTGAAATTATAAAAAAAATACCATGTACAATACCTAAATTATAAAACTTAATCAAATACTAATTTGCTAACATAAATAGATCACCAACCCGCATAGAACTCTTTGCTTTTCAGAGTCAAACATAGCGAATAGTGTTTGAATAGTCTACATAAATATTGACAAGAACTTTTATAAAATAATAAACGTATCCTTGCGTCACTGAAGATTACGTGAGACAATGATAAAGCGAACTACAGTGTAAACCGAGTATGAGTAAACGATTTTTTGTGCAAACACTGGAATCACGACGTGTTGGTAAATTTGCCGTATTGCGCTAGATAACAATAGAACTAATATTAGTGCATTTAGAAACAGTGTCGGTAAACCACGATACCTTGATTACACATTAGTGATTTCAATGATTGACTTATTTACTGCACGATGTCTAGAAGTTCCCAACTAAAATATAACCCGCGAAACAATTACGTAAGCGAAATGAAAAAGCTATTCTTTTGTTTATTTATTATTACAAGCAACAACAACAAAGTAAATAGATAAACAAAAATAAGTTAGACCGCACTATTAGACCTACATTATATTTAAAGAAGCATCGAGTATCAATTGTATTGAAAATTTAACAAAGGCGTGGTTTCAGCACCTGCTACAAAAGATATAGGACACGAGAAAGCTTCTTTTTAAGTCGATTCTATTCTATACACGTCTACACAGACAAATCAACCTTGAGCTCCATATTAATGACAGCCAAAATTCTACTTATCGAAATTTTCATAATTCAATTTGTTACGCATCTCGACAGGCTACTAATTATTCTGATTGTCTCATTTCTCTCCCATACGCAAAAAGTGTAATGAAATTATATCAATTAAAAATGTTTGTAGATTAATTATCGAGTTATGTACATATTATTATATGAAGATCTGGTAAAACATAATTCTACGTTTTTAAATTAAACAGGCTAAAACTACGAGGCATTTAAAATTATCAAATGAGTCTTAGATAAACATGAAGACGCGCGTGTGGTACCAATTAATTATGATCGCACTTCAAACATATGTATCTCTGTCACATAAAACGCTTGAATGCAGATCATAGGTTGGTTGGGTTATGAATTTTCTTCGCAAAACTTATCATACTCGCATTGCGTTATATATTATAGTACGTAATTAATATGTAGTATGTATTAATTGCCTATATATATATATTGAAAATGGATAAAATATAACTTGTGTAGTTACATGGATCATATTTTTAATGAGATAACATCCTCCATTTTATTTTATCTCCCTAGGGAAATTTCAGGATTGCTGATACAAATGAGACTTCTCATGTGTCAAGGCGGCGGAATTCACGTTGCTTTGTTTATTGATTACTATAACAGCGGGTGGGCCAAACAAACATAATACATTATATGTTGTGACAGTACACATAAAGTAACATTTCAGGACTTTTGTAGTATACAAATGAGGGAAGGAACATAGTCCAAATAAAAGTGCTCCGTGAAGGTCGCAACAACCCTCATCAGTACTGGGGTACGCGAAGGAGGATAGTATGCGTATGTAATATAAAAGCATATAATATATATGTACATATATATTTTTAATTGCTTAGATTGGTGGACGAGCTCACAGCCCATCTAGTGTTAAGTAGTTACTGGAGCCCATGGACATCTACAACGTAAATGCGCCACCCACCTTGAGATATAAGTTCTAAGATCTCAGTATAGTTACAACGGCTGCCCCACCCTTCAAACCGAAACGCATTACTGCTTCACGGCAGAAATAGGCAGGGCGGTGGTACCTACCCGCGCGGACTCACAAGAGGTCCTACCACCAGTAGGACCAATTAAATTAATCTAAAGCTAGAGAATAGTAACAAACCTCAAACGAATTAGGATCTTCGCTTTCCGCGATACTAGTGAAGAGGTGGTTCAGGGCGCGGGTCATAAGGCCAGTCATCGTGTGCGTTTTCCCCGCACCGGTGGCACCGTAGGCAAATACCGCTCCAGCGAAGCCACGAAGTGTATCGCTCACCAAAGAAGCACAAACTGCATCGTAAACTTCCTCCTAAGCACATTTTATATTGTTTTTACTTTTTAATTAAATATGTCTAAAAACATATTCCGGTAAAACAGTCAACAGCACCTCAATATTTCCTACATGAATTGTTCACAGATTGTTGAATGTAACTACTTAATATAAAATATAAAAAATTAGAAAAATGTACTTAGTTTTTTTTTTCAAGATAATGCAAAAGTGTATTCAACACCTTTTTTTTAATGCTGTGAATCCATTTATGGATGGATATTCGGTCTAGGGTGTAAATTATATCGGACTCAGGCGCCTCCAGAGTAGAAGAGGGAGTGGAGGAAGACTAAGGTCGTGTATTCAACACCTACCTACAGGCAAGTGTGGGAAAATTGAATTCATTTGACTACGATAAAAATGTATTCTTATTGGTACTTCGGAAAATATTTGGGGCATTCCACCATTATCATTCGATAGGTGGCGCTCGGTTCATCACAAAACTATTTTGCTTTAGGTATTTGGCGATAGTGAATCACAGAAAATTATGCCGGATTTGACTCTTATTGTTTATTTAAAAACACTAAACCAGTATTGATATTACGTTTTGACAAAAGGTTTAGATTTGAAGTCGGAGACCTAGTTTGCGATTCAGGTTTGACTAAACTAGTTTAGTAGTCGGTTTTCATACTCGTTATTATCGGTTTACCTTGAAGTACCCATGCAACGAAAGGAAGGTCAAAGTTTCTACTGTAACTTTTAATTCTACTATAGAAACTAAAATTACGAGTATCAACATCTGGGTATATTTAAATTAAAACATTCACAATAAACAACGCAATACAGTCGTGACTTCTTACCTGCGTACTTTCTTCCCCGAATACTCGATCGTAAACATAATGCTTTTCATTATGACGACGTTGCCGTAGAACATCCCGCCTGTTGTCAGACTCATCCTCCAAAACTAGCATCTAACAGACATTTTTATTAGTTCGAAGTTGAGCATTTGTAGATACAACAGAAGCATTCGTTAGACGAACCCGGAACTGATATAAAGACGACCCAACTACGAACAAATTCGTATTTCAAAACCAAGAAACAGACGAAAAATATGTTTATTTCAAAATTATGTTTAAATAACCATTTTCCAATTTCCCGCTAAAGCGATTGTAGTTTCAGTCGTTTGTTATTTGTGACGTCACCATTACGTAATAAGTATTTTTAATTACACAGTAAATGGCACCTCGTGAAAATCATATTTTTTCAATTTGGAAATATTTTTATAAGGTACCTATTCCAATAAAATCAAATTATTTTTCTTCCATTGTAATAAATGAAAAAATTGATAAGATGTTGTTATTAATTTTTACTACATACCATTCTCATGGTAAATATACTTCTTTAACCCTAATCTAGCTTTGTATTGTCCCAATCTTTCATTAGCTAAACCAAGAAAACACATTTCTGAGAAATATTAAAGAAGTCCTTTTCTATTCTAGAACCATTTTAAGTGTACGCAGTTATATTAGCTACACAACTAACCTTCCAGATAGTATCAAAAGCTCTCAAGTTGAGCCCCGTGAGCTCGCCTACTAGTCCGATGAAACCAGAATAGCCCCTCGAGGCTACTGGTAATTAGGTAGGAGAAATAAAATGACTAAACTAATAACTACCTGCCTATTTCAATCGCTAGCTTCGTATGCATACCAACTCGTGTCTTCTAATAATATGTAATACGTCACGTCTCTGACGTAAAATGTCCACATAATAACCATTTCTTTTTTGGCAAAGTCAACGATGCTGCGTTAAAAGTATCAAAATCTAAATACTTTATATATTTAACTTCATGCGTGTATGTCATGATCATAATTGACTCTAAAACCGCTCCACCGATGAAGTCGATAAAATTTTCAGGAAATCTTCAGATTGGCTTTGCGGGTGATCCTGTAAGAGCCTCAATCTAATCAAAGATCGATATGCACAGCGGGCCGAGTTTAACTTACCTTTATAATGTAACAAAATATTGAAACAAACCTATCAAATCGATAATAATATCTAAATTCAACACTTTGAAATCGAAACATACTAAAATTACATACAATCTATATAAGATATATTTTTTTTTTAATAATTCTATCAGTTCTGTTATATTTTTCAGAACAATAATAACAAAAATAACAAAAATGTATTATTCCAATAACGTATGTAGTCTTTTTTTCTCTCTCACTAAAACAGAAATTAGTAGTTTTATATAGCAACTTGCTATCTAATACTAACGTTTATCTATAAATTGAGGAAACGGACAGTTTTAACCAAGTCTACGTCAAAGTGTTATTTAAAAATGTTAGAGATACGACATTGAGATGAAAACTTCGGCGTTTGGCAATGATTCAAAGCAATACATACTGGTGTTTGTAGAAATTAATTTGTAATGTATACAGCACAGACAATTTCAGTCTCATTTTACTAACATAAGTCGTTCGATAGGTACAATAGAGTAACACTGTCAGTCAAGTACTGTTTTAAGGGCTTGGACGGGAAAACGAATGATCTTACGCTCGTCCTGGTTTTGAAGACATCACAGTGTGAACATCGCGACCAGCTTTGAGACTTGAGGTGGTAGAGTCCCTCGCCCCAATTAGGGGCCTCAAGATATTTAATAATCATTTTTATAGTACCTTGAATATTTGTGGTAGAACATGTAGCGGTTCACAATATCCGTGTCTATAAACATGGCGATTCCAATACGCTATTTCATATGATTTAATAACGGTATTAATTTGACTCAGGTATATTTTAGATATTTTAATATTATAGTTTCTGTGGCGTACTAAGAAACAAAATCGTGTTCAGTTGTGACGTGATTTTTAAACTAAGTGGCATATCATACAACATCTATCGTCCTTAATAATTAAAATAAGCTTATAACAATAATAACGTATATGACGCGAAATCTGTCCTAACGATCTAGCCGCATCAAATAAACTGAAAAAATGTTTTTCACCGTCATACTACTGTTGGGCTGTGTACTTTTTTTTATTGCCCTTGTACGCAGACGAGCCTACGGCCCACCTCACGGTGAGTGGTTACCGTCGCCCATGGAATTCAGCAATGCCAGGGGCAGAGCCAAGCCGCTGCCTACCAGTACTTATCGTAGCGTTATACATACTAAAAAAGGTGATTTTAATTTACCTTATCACTGACCACATGAACAATGCGAGGGCCTTCATCAGAATGTAATGGGCGCACGCGCACCGCTACCTGAAGGAGACAGTGTTTAAATTTAATAAAATTGAACTTGAGTAACTTGGAGTCTGTTAACTAGCGATGACAACTGCAATCTGTTAGAAGTGTTTATACATTGACAAAGGCAAGTGCAAAGGTTAGTTCCGTTTAAGACACAATTATTTCAGTTAGCGTAAATCAATCAAAAAGTGTCCATCTATCATAATCATATTTTAATAGAAACAGTCCAGATTATGATGTAAAAACAATTCAGACAACACACGATACTATTCCAGATTTTTTTTATTGCTTTTTAGGGTGGATGAGCTCACAGCCCACCTGGTGTTAAGTGGTTACCGGAGCCCATAGACATCTATAACGTAAATGCGCCACCCACCTTGAGATATAAGTTCTAAGGTCTCAGTAGAGTTACAGCGGCTGTCCCACCCTTCAAGCCGAAACGCATTACTGCTTCACGGCAGAAATAGGCGGGGCGGTGATACCTACCCGCGCGGACTCACAAGAGGTCCTGCCACCAGTAAAAAATAGTAAGTAAAAAATAGTAAATAGTAAGATGTAGGTAATGTATCTTTAAAATACTTCGGCTGTTAATAAAAACTTCATAAACAGTTAATAAAAACCTATGCAATAAAGAAAACTTCGATCCTATGTGCCCAGCATTCACTTATGGTGTTGATGGACTCTGGATAAAACTGCTTGAGAATAGACAGCTGTCGGCCCGTCTGTTGTCCCGAGGTCACAAATAGTAAAATAAACAAATATTAAATTGCATTTATTTGCAAATTAAATAGGTATTTACCATCAACTTCTCTTCTGTGACAGTACGCATTCTGGCATTGTACTTTTCGGGGGTAGTTGTGGTACATTGAGTCATGGCATTACTCCGTAAACTTTAACACTTTTCTTGATTTATGGTTAATAATACTTTAAAAAAGTTCAAACGCATTTTAGTCTTTTATAGGGTCGAGGTAATCAATCATTCACATCGAACCATAATTTATCATTTGAAAACAACATACGCGTATGTCGGAGCATTACGATCAGGAAAACAAATTAACTTGTTTCAATAATAAATACGACAAACTACGTATCCGCCCAAAACCTTCACGTGGACTGAGGGGTTGATCAAAATACATTGGACGTTATAGAATTGTAGATATAAATGGTCGCTCAGCAACGACTTTAAGCCACAAATAAAACATTGAACATAGTGTATTTCTTTTTACAATTAATTAGTTAACTATAATTTGAACCAACTTATAAGATTTAATAGTTGTATGTAAAGTTGACAATAAGTTATCATAACTTTCCGGTCTTACAGCATAGACAGTATTCGAAAGCAAAGTAAATAATCATGAATTCATATCTGACTGACTCGGTAGAGCAGTTGTTAGCACCCCTGACTGTTGCGCCGAAAATCTTGGGTTCGATTCCCACATCGGGCAACCATTCGTGTGATGAGCAGATTTGTTTGCTATTTGTCTGGGTGTTTATTATCTATGCATTTATTTAAAAAACGTACCTACTAATGTACGTTTTTACAATAAAATTTAGGTAGGTAGGTATGTAAGTTTCTGGTTCCCATAACACTGGGAGTCCTACATTGGGGCCGGGTGACCATGCGTGATTTTTTCGCAATTTTGTATTTATGTATGTGTGTATTTATTTACATTAGCTATGGGATCTTCAGACTATATTCTACTAAGTACTACAAGTTGTTAAACTAATATATTAGCGGAAATACTTAAGGCCAGGGCATCTACTTTTATGTTGACCCGCCTTCATTTTCAGGGGTTCTCATTACCGAGCCGTATGCTTCGTGGCAAATATCTCTTTTTTCTTCGTGAACGAATTTTCGATGCCTATGTCTACCGCGTAGGAGTTAAATTCTCCAATTTTAAAGGTAGGTGGGTCAGCCGTCAAGGAGAATATAAATGAAACTTCGTAGTTTTTTTTAGGATTGAAGAATTAATGGTGGCCCCGTGGCCTTTTATTTCCAGTTTCACCAGCACAGGTGGGCGAGCAACGTCTCAGCCAGGAGGGCTACGTAGTCTCAAGGCGACACTCACGTAATGATATCAATTTGCTCTGATACCCTTCCCTTACCTTAAGTTATGTATAACTTTACCATTAAACTTTACCCATACTTATGTACTTAGATGATTTAACTAAACTCACATGTTTTGTAAATGTTTTTTATTGTTTTTTTTTTATTCCTACCTAAGCTGATAGTCTTGAGAGGCTATTTCAGCGTAACCTTAACTAGTAGGTGAGCTCACGGGGCTCAAACCTGACGACGTTGCTAACACGAACCCTAGCAAGAGCCGTGCTTCGCAGAATTTATCACCGGATCGGAAACACGACCCACTGAGAAGATCCGGCGGGAAACTCAGTAGGCTGTGTCTGTGGGTTTACTCGTCGAGACCTTCGTCGCAATCGACGGGTTCGACGAGAGGGATGACCTGTGCTTGAGGTACCTAAAAGCACCGTTAGTGGATCGGGAAGATTCTATTGTTTAAACTTTCCCTTTATATATACTGTTATTACAACTCTGAAGAAGCATTCCCATGTGCGATAGTTCCCAACCTAAGTTTCACAATATTATAAACTTTAATTGTAGGTAACAAAAACTAAGCCCACTCAGTTTTTCTGTTATAAATATATATAAAAACTTATCACAAAAATCTATTTATATTTTTTACTAATTTAATGTACAAATATTTTTTGCCATTATACAATGCACCACCACCAGCATAATTCATTTGAACTATGTTTACAGATATCATTTCTACCATAACCAACTTCTAGAAAAAACATCACTCTCACTGCTTAAATGGCAGTATGTAGCGACTGTCCCCTGACCATTATGCTTGGCTTGACATCACAGGGGCTTTTCACTTTTTTAGGCAATAAAAATAAAAGTATTACACTAAAACACAATAATAATGTTTTACACCCATTCACCAATCAATAAAACATATATATTAAGGGGTATTTTTTTATTTGGTTAAGTTAAGGAATGATGAATAAAGCCCTATGATATCTTTATACATAATAGACTTTACCTTTATACATAATATGTAAGTCAGACTTAAATTATTCTCATCATAATAATATATTGTGCACAAAGTTAAACAGTACCAGGTGCAAGCAATTTTACTCCTCTGTCAAACAATTTAAAAAGATATTTTTTTGGCTTCATATCCACTGTATGTATGTGTTCTTCATTGAATTTGTTTCCTGGATATTTTATTGTCAAATGACCTGACACATCTGAACTCAATCCTGAAGAAAGGTTTTCCACTTCAACCACAGTTTGTGCTTTGTGCGATAGCAAATTTGCCAAACAGTGGTTAGCATCATCTTCTATCACATCATTGCAATGAAATATTACAAAAGGATTTTTTGATTTAGCAGCAATTTCTATAATTTCAGAACAAAACTTATTCACTTCTTGTAATGTATACTGAAGATCTAGTAAATGTGTGATTCCATCAAAAATAATGTTAACTGTGTCATGATTACGCTGCATTTCTTCTATGTTTTTCAGCACATCTATGAGCAATTGATCAGATTCAGCATACTCCATTATATTTGTTAATGTTGCGTCACCAAAATCAAAATAATGTATCACCCCAGCCTCACAACTTTTAAACAGATTATGGTTCATTCTTAAACCAACATTGTGGTAATGAGTTATTGAGTTATGTGAGGATACTATCAAAAGAGGGCTGTTTTGCTTAATACAGTAACTGATAACACAATTGACAATGAATGAACCATCACAACCATTTATTTCTTTAACCACAATCCTGTTGGTAGATATATTTTTCTGCAATTGTAGACATGATGTTATAATGTCAGACATCCTGAAACAATGAACTGTTTGCAATAAATTACCGCAGTTTCACAAAATTCTCGGAACAAGCTCTTTGCCAATAAATATATAGGTATAGGTACCTATATCTTGTGACGCTAAAGGGACATAAATGATAAATTTACTGAAACGCCAGTCACTGAGAGTTATACTATTATCGCAAAATCTAACATATCTTCCCTCAGTCAAAACGCTGTCGGCATGCGTAGAGAAAAGTCGAGTTCGCTCGCGCGAGACCTTCTGTATCGACATTAATCGTTCGTTTTCTCATGTATTCAAAAACTTGCCAAATAACTTATTACATAATAACACGTATTTACCGTTTATAGAAAGAAGTGGTTAATTTAACTTTCATCCAACAAGTTACCTTTCCTCACAAATATTTCAATATATTTGGAATATTTTAGTAAGGTAAGTTATTTTTGTATTTTTTCATTTTAGAAACCGTTTTAATTATGTAAACAAAGTAAAACAAAAGCCAAGGTTTTTTTTCCCCTAGCATATAGGTTATAAAAATGATTTTCCATAAGAAATAATATTTTCTAAAACTTAAATATTTTATACCTGCTTTCAACTTGATAGTTTATTCTTTTTTATTCCCAAATGAATTATTATTGGAAAAGATTACCAACGTGAACTAATATTCACTTTCAATTCAAATAGAATACGCGTTGTGCGATTTATCTTAAAAGAAAATTATTGTTATTTAACAATATGGTAATAATGACATTTGTATCCTAAAAAGCTAAACACTTTTTTTTTATTTCTATTTCCTATTCATATCCACATTTACAGCCATCGGGAACAGGCACATGACATGCTCATGACGCAACATTCATCTTAAGCCCGGACGCATATTGTACGTCCGTCCGTGCTTGGCCGAAAAGCTTCCGAAGGTAGGTACTCTGTGAATTGCCTAGAAATGACAATATTTTTTTTTTCTAATAAACAAAGTAAAAATTAAGGTGGTTCCTATATTAGCCCAACATTTTAATACGAAGGCTTATCCAACGTGGCTTACCTAATCTGGTCAGGACATAGCCGACGCGACGTCACTGAATTGTGATCGTGTCGTTAGGTGACCTACGTTATTAACTATGCTTTTAGCATTCGGTATATGTAGTTGAATACATCATAGTCATAGATAGGTTTCATACTTAGTTTCAGTGACATAGTACATACTCGCCCGGGCCTAATGTTGATCTCAATTTGCTGTCATTTGTCACTTTGTCAATTGTTGTCAATGTCGTTTGTCAAGGTTAAGGTCGTTGTCACCGTGGAATCTACTATGTAAAGCGATTTTAAATAATGACAAACTAAATAGTGATTTCTATTCAATTTTATTTGGTTTCTTTCGAACTTAGATTGACAAGCATATGAATGATAAATTTTAATTTAATACGACATAAGTGTAATAATAATAAAAAGTAATAAAATAGTAAAATGTAAATTAATAGTACTAAACAATTTAAACATTTAAACTACAAATGTATTTTTGCAGTTCAAAATACCATGTCTAAAGAAGTAAAAGTATCACGATGGTATTTTGGTGGTTTGGCATCTGCAGGAGCAGCATGCATCACACATCCACTAGACTTGCTCAAGGTTCAAATGCAGACACAAAAGGGAAAAAATATTTCTATGATACAACTTACTGGTATTGTATTAAAGAACCAAGGTGAGCAACTATATAACTTTCATATTAGTATAATTCAAGTTCTGAAAAACACTAATCCTCAAAATAATATAAATACAAATTTACAACTGTGCATATCTCAACAGACCATTACCATGTAGCAAAAAATTTAAAATGTACATACATGTTTTGTAGGGAAATGATAATTGGTAATATATAAGGATAAAATTATACCTCTACCTATAAAATATAATTACTTATATAACCATGGATTACATAGAAATTAATGGACATGGAGTATCAATGTTTTTTTTTATACAGACCAATTTTAAGTTTTTCTTTTCTAGGAATCTCAGGGTTGTACAATGGTATATCAGCCTCTTTATTAAGACAGCTGACATATTCCACATCTAGATTTGGTATTTATGAAATTTCCAAGCAACATATGACACCAAAAGATGTGAGTTTTTAAATAATAATAAATACTTTTTAGTTATAAAATTATTTTTAATAGAATCTATTATTCACTTCATAGCCTTTTAGCCCATAACTATTTGTTCACAGAAAATAATGGGTGAATTAAAATAAAGCACACTTAAACAACATATTGAACTTTGCCTCATCTTAGATAAACACCAATCAGTCTGTCAATTTGTCTGTCAAGTCTAGTGGTTAATTATAGTGATTGACTGTTAAATGACATCCACATTCGATTTCTGATCAGGTTACTCAATACTTTTAAGATATCTGTTTTTAAAGATGTTCTTGTCTTGTGCATATGTATTTTCAGCCATCATAAAAAGAGAGAAATCATATCTTTAGGTTGTTGTATGAATATGGAAAGATACCATCATAGTTTTATAACTATAACACTTAAAAGAGAAGATTAAATTATCAGAAATTGTAAACACCAAATATCCCAATTATCTGAATCACACTAACAATATTAATAGCTATTGTTTCTAGGGTAGCGCGATACCTTTCTACATGTCAGCATTTTTAGCTGGGCTTGGTGGATTTACTGGTGGTTTTGTCGGAAATCCGGCCGATTTAGTCAATGTCAGAATGCAAAATGATGTCAAACTTCCACCTGAGCAGAGGAGAAAGTAATTAACTCTTTATTACATTATGATTTTCTTAGTAACTAAATCAATTTCAATCAGAAAACCTTATATGAATTTATAAAAACACAAATTCTTGATATTTACTTTTATTTTATACTTTTGTACTTATTTATATTGTTAAGCATGAATGTATCCCTATCTGAACAGTAGGATAATCATATTACAATACTGTTAAGACCTTGATTGCATATCTCAAAGAGGGCAGGTGCCACAATCATTTATTGGTGGACAGCCTATAACAAATATTCGTCTTGCCTATCTGAAACATTAAAAACATGTTTATATTTTATTTTCCAGACACACAAACATGATTAAAACTAGTAACTGAATTTAAATAAGAAGAGTCTCATTTTGCTTGTATTTTTCTATATTTTTTAGACCATAATTTACTTATTAATAAGAAACAAATCAAAACTAAAAGTATAAATATTTCCTTAATTATTTTAGTTACAAGAATGCAATACATGGCTTGTGGCGGGTTGCAGTTGATGAAGGTGTGTTAAGATTGTGGTCTGGAGCCACCATGACCTGTACTCGTGCTGCACTCATGACAATTGGACAACTGTCATTCTATGATCAAATCAAGGGACTGCTCCTTTCGTCACCATACTTTGGAGAAAATGTTGCCACTCACGTAACATCCAGCTTATTAGCGGTAAGCTTTTATTTTGTTTATGTATTCTATACATGTTTATATATTTATAAAATAATTTACATTTTGAAATATTCGCCATTATTTAATGTGATTCACAACTCATTACATTGTCAATATATCAAATTTTTGTTGATTTGATAAATTTCAGTGGAATAATATTATTGAATATTATACATGAATTTGAAATATTAATTGAAAATCTTATTAATTATAGATCAGTAGGAAATTTTATTAGAATTTATTGCCAATATTAATAAGATAATAATATTATTAAACTATAAAAATCAATAAAATGGACCAAGAACAACTGTTGAAATAAATTGAATATTCAAGATACAAGGTGAATGCCGCCTTTGCTTGCCGAAGAAATCGAGATCTTAATTGTATCGTAAATTAGCAGCCCCACCATTCCATCGGGAAAGCATGAGTTCATGCTTAAAGCAGTATGGCTTGTGGCACAGCCAACAAGCTCTGCCCCCCATAAAGCCAATGGGCCTTGATTAAAATAACATTCGTATGGAGATTCTAGGCTTCAAGATTATGTATTTGAAACCGTTACAGGGTGCGATAGCAACAACAATGACTCAGCCCGTGGACGTCCTAAAGACCAGGGCAATGAATGCGAAGCCGGGTGAAATCAAAAGTATACTCTCACTCGTCAAGAACACCGCAAAAGAGAGTCCCTTGGCGTTTTTCAAAGGATACATTCCAGCGTTCGTGAGACTGGCACCACACACTATTTTGACTTTTGTTTTCTTAGAACAGCTTAGAATGAATTTTGGAATTTTGAAAAGTCAATCGTAAATGTCGAAATTTGTTTTCGTTGTTGCTTTATTTTAAATTTTAAATTTTTAGCGTTTTAATTGTTAGATAGCTGGTCTATTTTAGTTAATTCCAATGATAGTTTTCGCGAAAATTCACAAAGTGAAACAGTTATAGTTACCTCGGCAATTTTATTTAATAATTTAAGATTTTTATTTTATGAAGGAAAGTTAATTTTATGTTATATTTTGACATTTCTGTTTTTTACAAAAACTACACAGAAAATATTTGTTATTTATTTATTTATTTATTTGTGATGTAATTGAAATTAATACTTTTTTGACAAATTTACAACATGACCAATATTTATAGCGTTTACTCTTAAAGGATTTAATGGTTAAAAATTGTTAATAGTTGTTGTCGTACATCGTTGTCGTCTTCCTATTAAACATCTTGAAAGAACGCTTATTAAAATATCTTAACCTGTTAAAAAAATACCCAAAGATCGTTTTATAGAAAGTTCACGCAAACATTATAAGTAGGTACTAGAAACAAAGACTTTTTAAGAGTATAACTTCATATTTAGTAATACCCAAAACTAATTAACGATCCCGGGTGGCCAATAAACTAATTTAGAGAATTAAAAAGGGCAGAAAGACGGTAAAAAAAAAAGAAACTACTCGTACTTTCTTAGGGACCGCCGACAGACCGTTTTATACGAAATAAAACTGTAGCCATTACTGTATTCAGTAGTAGCGATTGTATACACAAATCTATATTTTCTAAAAAAAAATTGGCTTATAAATTTTGGTATAAATCACACTATTTTGGGCAAAAGACCTCTTTTCCGAAACGAACTAATACCTCAAACCCCTATGACAAAATTACTTTTAAAATCATATCTATAATTTTTTTCCTATCTCCTTTCCTTTCTTATCTAAAAACCTCTCGCTTGGTTAAGCGAGTAGAATTGATATCATTTTCTTATCAAAGTTCAACAAAAGAAGTGACAAAATTCAGTAAATATCGAGTTTATTAATACAAATTACATACATACATAAAACTAGCTAGAATGTAATTATTTTTCGAAAAAGACATTAAAATCGCAAAGTAAAGATATAAACATAAGAACTTAATTAATAGGGATCGATTTTAAGACCTCGTCAATCCCCCAAATCAGTTTTCATTTATGTCGGCCACTTTGTGCATCCTTGGTCTAACCAAAACGAGTGTTTTTCATTTACGAGCCCTGAAGACTGTTTAAAATTACTGAACTAAAACAACAATCAAGAATTCTGCAGAGATTCGATCTTTTAGAAATAAATGTAATTAATATGCCAGTGTAATAAAATTTGTTAAGTTTCTTAACACGATTGTTGATCAATCGAAAACAAATTAAGCATCAACAAACCGATTTAATAGGTACCTAATTTAAAAATTAAGAAACGTTGAATGTTTTGTGCCAATACATGTTCGTATAAAATAAGTTAGTTTAAAACTTTACTGACCTCGTCACAAAATTCCACGACATGAAACTTTATTTTTTATACTTTTTATTGGTTATACATTCCTTGGAATATTTATTTATAAATAGATTCTAAGGCATTGTGAGGAATGCTAAATTGTGAAACTTATTTATTCTGTCCAATTTATGTACCCGTCTTCTTATTTGTTGTCAACGAAAACAAAATTGAATTTTACAAATGTAGGCTGTATCCAACCTTATAATTCGTTTGATGTAGAATAACTCTCTATAATAAAATAATAGTCACCTAACCCATAAATAGCTCATAAAGAACTCTTGCCGGAAACGGAATATACTCTAAATTAATAATTATTCACACTGGGAGATTTAGCTGAGTTATTTGTTCGAGATTACGATTTTTAATACTTTTCTCTCGGCTGTGCTTCGAGGAGGTTATGTTGAGACAGCCTCCTTCGTGAATTTTATCTGACGGCAACTTCAATAGGACTAGATAGAATATTTTAAACCCTATCGAACGCCTTTGTGATATCACGGCCCAAATAAAAACCCCGAACTCATTTTCCGTGACTTAATGTAAGATCGTTTGGGTGCGCACATTTTGAATACCATGTCGTTTATTCAATGCTGTAAACCATTCGAAGACGGAAGCCTCCGATTTCAAGCAATGAACTCCAAAGTTGCTATTGGGACAGTTTGCGAGTCGGTTAATAATGTAGATGAGTTATATGTGCTTGTCGTCTGACATGAAATAATATAAATTTGCTTACCTGCGCTCTACGCACCATTTGCTATAAGCAAAACGTCTGTGACGCTTATCAATCAAATGAGCAATTGCGTGCACAGTACAATCTAAAAAAGAGTCGTGCGTATAAGTCCAAATTAAACAAAACTTATGAAAGTATGGACGATGCACAGAGATATACACTGCTCTCGTTTCCACTCGTCGTTTGTAATTATGCATATTGGCCCGCTTCCACATGGCCACGATATTTGCAAACGTGTTTTAGATGATGATACAATGTTGTATAGATAACCTATCACCATTATTATACGAACTCCTAAACTAAAAAAAGTTCTAATGAATAGTAGTACTACCGTGTACTGCTAGCGTTAACATTCAGCCTTGACGCTATTTGCAATGTGCATAATTAGCACTGGTTACTTATAGGCATAATTAGTACTTATTCTAGGACTGCGATGAACTCCAACGGCTAGAGTTCAAAGTTTAGGATAAAGATAAAATATTTCATCCCCTGAAACCATATTTTGAAAACGATGCGCATAGTAGAAGCGTGGAATCCTCTGTAAGACTAGATTCTATTGTCGAAACAGCAGAAATCAGACGATCCAAAAAAAGCACCTGTACTATGTGAGATCTGTTTTCGAAATAAAATACAATAGGGGTAATATAAATATCAGTCATTAATAGTATTTGGGGCTTCATGTTCAAAATTATGGATTGCTTTCTGGGGCCTCGAAGGCAACGTGCTTGAAGACAATTTCAAGATTTTGGTAGACATGATTATTCCCGCAGTAAAAATTGAAAAAAAAAATCACATTAACCATGGGAATCTTCCGAAAAAGCTGTAGATATTAGTGCTATTTCTACTCCGGTTTTCTTTCGATTAGAAACAAAACGAACTTACGGAGCTGAACCCAAGCTAACTTTCGAAAGGAAATTCTACATGGTATGAAGTGAAAACTCAAAGGATGTGATAAAAACGTATAACTTTCAGTTCTCGTAATATTTTACCCTAAGGTTTTTCTCATCCCTGCTAACTAGTTGTAGGGCTTTGCATTTGGTTTTCATACTACTACCCATCGTGTACACAGGTTTCGAAACCGCATGTTCCAGCCGAATATTCTGCGGCGGCTGTGGTTTTAAAGTTGCCGTCAGATAATAGAAAATCTCGCATAAATACATTTAGTTTTAAATCTACCGCATAGCGATTCCCAAGAGTTCTTTTTAGGCCCAATTTCATACCTAAATATTCGACAACTAAGTTGGTATTCGACAAGAATAAACAGTTCTTGAAAAAAAAAACGAAACGAAGTAAATTATGACTATTAAATAAAAAACGAAATATTTTGCTAGTCACAGTATCGTTCCTTAGCATAATTAGTGTTGTGCGCTCATAGAGCGTCGCATGTTCAGATACTTGAATGTTAGATTATTATTGTGTTCTTCCGCTGTATAGTGATTTTTAATAGTGAACTACGAAATTGTTAATTCATTTAAAATGTAAATGTAATGTCGTTATTGTGTGTACAAGCGTTTTGACAAATTTCAAATATGAATTCAAACATCTGAACGGACCCACGAGTAGCGTGTTAGGTATATTTTTGTTGCAGTTTTTGTTACTGTTTTGTAGTGTATTTCGAATACACAAATTGGAGTTAAAAATATATATACATAACATATTCCTTTATTTATTATTATTGTAAGATTGTCTTTTAATGCATATAATGCATTTTTACTATCTAAGAGTATAATTTTGAAAAAAATATTTAATGCTCTTCAAACATTTGCAGAACTTCTAGAAAAATTAAGATTAAGATTTTAAGGAACGGTGTGTTCTATTAATGGCCGATCTTTTAAAATCCTGTCAAGTATATTCATAGTGTGTTTTAGAATTCCAAATTTAATATTAGTCTATGGTGTTGTTGTATTATTAAAGCTATTGTTAATGGAAAACTTGTTTTACTTCTTAAACGGTAAACAAAAGACAGCTAGGAACGGTTAAGGAGAAATAGAAAAAGAAAATGCATTTAGTATAGATTTAATAAGATATTTTATTTGGTGAAAATATATTTCAATTAATTATATTAAAATTAATTAGAGATCAAAAACAAGTGCATGACTCTCAAAACTGTTCTCAGATGTCATGCCTTCATAATAAAACATTAAAAATTGTAATTGTACAAGAACAGTGCAATCACAGCACTATCCAATCATACTAAAAAGTTGTATTTGTATTAAGATAGATGTCTACGTAACTGCTTAGTACTAATTCTCGACATCGAAAGGCCATACCCATATTTACGTAACATTATATTTTATTCACTATAGATCAGCAATAATATGTTGAAAATTGAATATCTGATTATATGGCTCTGATGTTGAAATTTTTTTTTTTACTATCACACTTTGGCACGAACACGTCCATCTCGACCTGACGATGCGTCTTAATGGGTAATAACGCGACGCTATATTATTTCAAAGGCAAAACGCAAATCGTTTACCTATTCACTTTTATCAATTTAACTCATATCAACTATGTACATATACATTTTGAATATTCTCACATACCTATATTTCCTATTTTTAAAATCGCATTACTCAATTAGCGAAAATCCTTAGATAATACCATGACTTGTAAATTTTAATGTTATATATACGAATATTGTATACGTACTTAGAGAAGTCAAATCTTTGGTACAGAGATTCGTTTTACAACTCTCTAATCGAAAATTTATAACCATTTGAGGGACAATATTTTGAAAAGTCTCATCTTTTTGAAATCAAAAGACACAATTGGACTTTTCCAGTCACAAATATTGAGACACACAAAAACTATTTAAATTACTATTCGTTTACGTTTTTATTTTATGCCTTAATTTATAAAAACATACCAAATGTTTATTATTAACAAACCAAATTGTTTAATTAAAAATGAATTTTCAAAAGAAGTCATCAGAATTTAATCGCGCAGACATGAAGACGGTTGTGTGCTCGTATCGAGAACATAATTTCGACAACCATTTGGACGCATACTACATACATGGAATACCGAGTTGGGGGAAAACTGTGAAAAGTTAGTATAGATCACCTATAAGCCTATAGGCCTAAGCCTAAAGGATGATATCCCTTGGCCTCCGAGGAGCTCGGACCTTATATCCTACGATTTTTTTTGTGGAATGGCTTTGAGAAGCCGCGGTCCCCGCAGAATGAGCTGGCGAAATTTCCATAGTTTCCGGGAGTGCCAATGACGACATGAGGCACATCTCGAGAATGTCATTCTTAAGATCGGTATCGCATTAGACTTTTGTTACGTTCTATAAATGACCAACAAATTTGAACAATTGCAATTTTATTCTTACATATGAGTCGTCTATTATCAAAGGTGGCAATCTGTGCATTTGGACAAACAATTTTTATTGATATGTCAATACAGATTTATTTGAATATAATCGTCTCCTTCAAAGAATACGGTTCAAAACCTGCATTAAATAAAGGTTAATAGTTAACCTGTTATTTATCTAAGATGTCGTTCCGAAGAGTTTTGTGACTGCCAATGGAATACAAAGTNATCCCAATTTAACCCTTAACCGTGTCAATTTACCCCGGACGCTGGGTAAATTGGGACGGCCATTATTTTACCGATTATTTCTTTAAAATGAATAATTAAAATAATGTAACGGTTTTTATCACCTAGGTACGTTCAAGACTCAACTTATTTCTTTGGTTGAGCAGTGACTATTTAATTGGAACTATTTTAAAATTCAATCTGTAGGTCGATTTTGTCCCTATTTACCCCATTGTATGGTACTTCTTAAACGGTAAACAAAAGACAGCTAGGAACGGTTAAGGAGAAATAGAAAAAGAAAATGCATTTAGTATAGATTTAATAAGATATTTTATTTGGTGAAAATATATTTCAATTATATTAAAATTAATTTGAGATCAAAATCAAGTGCACGACTCTCAATGAATCATAGCACTATCCAATCATACTAAAAAGTTGTATTTGTATTAAGATAGATGTCTACGTAACTGCTTAGTTCTAATTCTCGACATCGAAAGGCCATTCCCATATTTACATTTATTCACTATAGATTAGCAATAATATGTTGAAAATTGAATATCTGACTATATGACTCTGATGTTGAAAATTATTTTTTTTGCTATCAAATTTGGCACGAACACGTCTATCTCGACCTGACGATGCGTCTTAATGGGTAACGCAATAACGCGACGCTATATTACTTCAAAGGCAAAACGCAAATCGTTTACCTATTAACTTTTATCAATTTAACTCATATCAACTATGTACATTGAATATTCTCACATACCTATATTTCCTATTTTTAAAATCGCATTACTCAATTAGCGAAAATCCTTAGATAATACCATGACTTGAAAATGTTATATAAACGAATATTGTATACGTACTTAGAGAAGTCAAATCTTTGGTACAGAGATTCGTTTTACAACTCTCTAATCGAAAATTTATAACCATTTGAGGGACGATATTTTGAAAAGTCTCATCTTTTTGAAACCAAGACACAATTGGACTTTTCCAGTCACAAATATTGAAACACACAAAAACTATTTGAATTATTATTCATTTACGTTTTTATTTTATTCCTTAATTTATAAAAACATACCAAATGTTGATTATTAACAAACCAAATTGTTTAATTAAAAATGAATTTTCAAAAGAAGTCATCAGAGTTTAATCGCGCAGACATGAAGACGGTTGTGTGCTCATATCGAGAACATAATTTTGACAACCATTTGGACGCATACTACATACATGGAATACCGAGTTAGCGGAAAACTAAAAAGTTAGTATAGATCACCTATAAGCCTATAGGCCTAACCCTAAGGGATGATATCCCTTGGCCTCCGAGAAGCTCGGACCTTATATCCTGCAATTTTTTTGTGGAATGACTGAGAAGCCGCGGTCCCCGCAGAATGAGCCGGCGAAATTCCCATAGTTTCCGGGAGTGCCAATGACGACATAGGCACATCTCGAGAATGTAATTCTTAAGATCGGTATCGCATTAGACTTTTGTTACGTTATATAAATGACCAACAAATTTAAACAATTGCAATTTTATTCTTACATATGTATGTATTTACAATGCATACTTTTGTAATCACATTTTTTTTCTATCTAAATTAGTCACGCCCGATACGCATGTTTTGTTCTCTTGAAAGCCAAGGTGAAGCAGTCGTCGTGTTATCACAAGTTATCCGATAGCAAAATTAATGTTATTCTAACATCATTATTACATTCAACTTGATACTGACAGCGATGATGAATTGATATTTCAAGTACACGATCATATCTCCGCAATGTGCTGAAGTCAGAATTCTAATGTGACCATGAACAATTAACAATTCTAATTAATTTTCCGCATTCTTAAACAAATTTTTCTGTAATTTTCATTCCATCATACTAGTTTTGATTTGTTTTTAAGGTAAATGATCGTATTAAATAAAATATAATTAAAAAACGAGTCACGTTTCACAAGACCAAGATTTTTATAATAAATATGAGACAAATTGTTTTTTTTTTAACATTCAGATCTTTTTATGTTCGCTCTCAGCATGGTGCTTTGTCCAGCCGGCTCCACTAAAATAGTGGCCGGACCCTGCATCCAGGGCTCGCCGTCCACTTGCATCGCACACGAACCTTCTAGATCAATCTGTAACGATACACATTTATGTAGGTACTAGCTGACCCGGCAAACTTCGTAGTGCTTCAATCTATAAATAAAAGACCTAAACTTTTGTATACAATAAACTTAAAACAAACAAAAGGAATCCGTCCGACGGGGGACACATTAAAGGAAAAACAAAATTATTTGTTTTTATATAATTCCGAGCATTTACATATTTATTCACCTTTTAAACCTTCTCTGGACTTTCACGAATAATTATAATTCAAGACCAAAATTAGCCAAATCGGTCCAGCCGTTCTCGAGTTTTAGCGAGACTAACGAACAGCAATTCATTTTTATATACATATAGAGATGTATATAAGATTATGGTTCTAAAGTTAACGACAATTAAATCTATATTAAGTTTCACTCACTCTGAGATTGGACGCTTGTGTGAAACGATAAGGTTCAGCCAGACCGCACTGAAGTCTTGCAATGTGAAATGAAGACGAAATGCCGACCACCTACAATTATTAATTATATATATGTAGGAAACACGAATGTAAAAACAATGTAGAGGGGTACAGTGCCTATAAGTAGCAACGCCTTTGCTACGAAACGTTTATCCGATCATTTGCAAGCGAAGTAAATTGTCCCTTGGAATTAAGGTGACACTCTACAAAACTTGCATACGCCCCGTCATGACTTATGCAAGTGTAGGCCCGCACTAACTTGAAACCCCTTCAAACTATTCAGTCTCGTTTTTTGCAGGATAGCCGTCGGAGCCCCGCGGTTCGTCAGGAAAATCGACCTACACGACGACCTGGACCTAGAGTCCATCAGTAAGTATCTACAGTCGGCATCCATGCGCCATTTCAATAAAGCGGCACGACACGAGAAACCTCTCATCGTGGCCGCCGGTAACTACATAGCCGATCCTGCAGTAAACAGTTGACGTCGCCCAAAACACGAATTTCGGATCCTCCCGATCCACTAACGGTGCTTTTAGGTAACCCAAGCACCGGTCATCGTTCTTGCCATCAAACCCATCGCTTGTGACGAAGGGCTTTGCGAGTAAATTAACCCACAGACACAGCCCACTGAGTTTCTCGCGGGATCTTCTTAGTAGGTCGCGTTTCCGTTCCGGTGGTAGATTCTGCGAAGCACTGCTCCTGCTAGGGTTCGTGTTAGCAACGTCATCAGGTTTGAGCCCCGTGAGTTTACCTACTAATTCGGCGAATCTAGAATAACCCCTCGAAGTTACTAGAATAGGTAGGAAAAAAGGGTGAGATGAGCGTTCGTGAGGGTAGTCGTGGACATAATTTGTGTGAGTTATTGTTTTCAACTCTATGTAAATGTGTGTTTAAAGTCAAGAACCAATCCAAAATGTTTATTCCTGTATACTGGTTGTTTGGTGATTTATTTCAGTGTCTTTGTTGAATTAGAGTCAATTAATTAGAGTTTGACAATCACAAATTTTGTAGTGATTAAATTGTTTTTTTTTAAATGTTTTTTTCTTCTGAATCCTAAATATATATATATATATTCGTTGATATAGTATGGGATTTAATCGCGTAAAAATCACAGTAAAATCAGATTAAACGGATCCGAGCTCCGACTGCTTGGTCATCAACCTCTCACAATATTAATAGTGCCTATATCGTTCAGCAGTTTTCACCCCAATAGAATCAATGGAAAAATATTTTTTTTAAAGAACAATAGAATTTAATGAGAAAATTTGATATTCAAATTGTATACAGAATTAAAGCTCGCTAGGCAGTCGTTTGGCATTTAGGCTCATAAAAACATATTGCTCTCTGGTAATGACCCTTTTACACTACACGATTTATCGGTACCGACGGTGGATCTGCTTGTTTGTTTTCTCATAAAATTAATATATATTATTATTATTATTAAAATATAAGTTATACCTCCAATTTTCCATCGCTCATGCTTTGTTCTTCGACTTCATCTTCACCTCCCATACCTAGATACAAAGGATAAGTGTCAATACGAATTGTACAGACAACATTTTGATGACACGATTTTAGAATTTTTAGTTCTTTCTGCAAAAAATTCTTACTCTTTGTGTTTAAATTGAAACGTAACAATATCAAGTGCGCTGCTCACCAATTACTAACTTGTTTCATATTTGTTGATAAATCTAACAAGTTGAATATCCCATGTACGTTAACGATTATCACAGTAAGTACCTATCAAACGTGGTAACTATCAAAACCGAAAACTTCATTACGTAGTTATCGGTGGCAGAAGTTCAAGTTGAAAATGTGGTAACTATCAAAACCGAAAACTTCATTACGTAGTTATCGGTGGCAGAAGTTCAAGTTGAAAAACCGAAATAGCAATACATTTGAGACTTCGACCTCATGTCTCGAGGTCGGTGACCACGTTCACCTTATGGTTTCTATGGGCTCCGATAACCGTTTAAAGACCGTTGTGCTTAGTGCGAGATTTTTTACGTTCTCGATAGCGTAAAAGTTAACTCAAATTTGTATGCAAGTTTCAGTGACTTCGATGTGACGTGTGAGACAACTAACTCCAGAGATGCACGCCTGCGCCCCAGGAGGGTATGTTGAGCGCGAGCAGAGCCTGCAGCGGCGGCAGGGTTAGCGCCACGCCGTCCGCGCAGCACCGCACCCGCCGCTCCAGCCCCTCGCACCCGCCGTCGTCCAGCGCACGACCCACGCCCAGGAACACGTACGCTATCTGCGGCAACATAATATCGTCTTTTCGCTTTTTTTAATATTTATTTTTCCTACCTATTCTGATAGATAGCCTTGAGAGGCTACTTCAGCGGTCTTTTCGCATTAAATGTGTAAAATTTCCAAAAACATTCGTAATTAAATTAATATGCGTAATCATTTGGTAAATACTGTCAAAAGAGCGTAGTTTAGTTTTAGTTTTTTTTTTTTTAGTTTTCCTATGTTTTAACTACTGTTAACAAATTTAATACATAACTTTATCTTACTTTAAAAGACAGATAATGTAACTGGTAAAAAATAACAAATAAATGTTGCAAAGATGATTATTATTGAAAATATCACATGTTTTAAACCTTTAAAACACTCTCCTGTAAAATTAGTAAGTTTTTAGATTATACAGTTTTAATGCGAGAAGACGATATGTACGAACTTCATTCAAATGCATGTCTCATATAGAAACTAGATAGAAAGATGTTATAAAAACAATGAGTATACTCTTGACCCAAACTCTCTTAAAGTAAAGGAAAAATCACCTCCAACAAAAATAGATGAGTGGAGGAAACCAGCTAAATCGTGGTGTTTCACACAAAAAAATTCAATCTCTAGCAAAAGTAATAATAAAATTAATAATAATCGTGTAATAAAAATGAAACCCGCAAAAATATAATTTGCGTAATTACTGGTGGTAGGACATCTTGTGAGTCCGCACGGGTAAGTACCACCACCCTGCCTGTTTCTGCCGTGAAGCAGTAATGCGTTTCGGTTTGAAGGGTGGTGCAGCCGTTGTAACTATACTGAGAACTTAGCACTTATATCTCAAGGTGGGTGGCGCATTTACGTTGTAGATGTCTATGGGCTCCAGTAATCACTTAACACCAGGTGGGCTGTGAGCTCGTCCAACCATCTAACAAATAAAAAAAAATAAAAAGACTCTATATATTTTTTTCTACCTATTCTAGTAACCTCGTGGGCTTATTCTAGATTCACCGAGCTAGTAGGTGAGCTCACAGGGCTCAAACCGGGAGTATTGCTAACACTGGTCCTAGCAAGAGCAATGCTTCGCAGAATCTACCACCGGATCGGAAACGCGACCCACTGAGAAGATCCGGCGAGAAACTCAGTGGGCTGTGTCTGGGTTGATTTACTCGTCGAGCCCTTCGTCGCAAGCGACGAATTCGGCGAGGACAATGACCGGCGCTTGGTGTACCTAAAAGCACTCTTAATGTATCGGGAGGTTCCGTAATGACGTGCTTAGGGCGTCTATAATTAAAGATACTTGCAAATTATTTAAAATTTCGGTAGTAAAATTTAAATAATAAACACTTATACTAGTGATATTGCTCTAGTTTCTTACGTAATTGAGGGTCCTGCTTGCGTATCGATATAAGAACTGTGTCCTGGCGCGATGGAAGTCGAGCGCGACCTGAGCGTCTACTCCAATACTCGCATAGTTGTAAGCGTGCAATATACGCTCCGGTGCCCGCCGACCGAGACGGCCACGCTTTGGTTTAATAATAATTTTCCATCTAAAATTAATAATATAACTCTTTATTTAACACCATATTCTGTACAGAGTAAATTAATAAAACAAATAAAAGTCGGTGATATAAATTGACGGCCTTATCGCTAAAAGCGATCTCTTCCAGGCAACCTTGCAGGGAGAGGAATAAGTGCTATATCTTAATAAACTTACATAAAAATATATACTTATATACACATGTGAAAAATAAATACCATATAAGATAAACTTACATACGATTAAATACAAATAAATACTAAAAATATACAAGATAAAATACAAAAGAAGTAGGAACTTATACAGTTATATCATAGGAGCCATATTATTGTGCCATTAATTAATATAAAGAATTTTGAAAACCCCCGTATTACTTCGAGAAATCGGCAGTGTAAGGATTTATTTATTTATTTAATCTACTTACAAATTAACAGCATAAACCAAAATATTCGTAAGGTATTAATAATTAGCTTAAGTAATTTCTAACAACAACTTTCTAGCCATCAGGCACATATAGCGACACTGATTCCAGTGCAGTGGAGTTATCAATTTCGTTATGCAATAACAAATACAATAATAATGCACCATAAGAGTCATCTTCCGTCTCAGCTCAATCAGGATTAAAGTCTTACCTGTCCAATGGTTCAACTGTTGCTTGTTTTATGCTGCTAATGATTGAATGTGCATCAATGTATGACGGACAGCCCGGACCCCAGCCGAGCACACGAGACAGATCATTACCGGTCCCCATAGGGAAGATAGCCACGGCCGCCTGGTCAGTACAATATAATAATTAAAAAAAAAAATTAAAAATGCGTTTTAGAAATCAAGAAAAGGCTTTTTTAAATTAAAACGTTTGAGGCTAAGTATTAAAATATATGACAATTGAATCCATAAAAGAATGCTATTTATCAACCATATTTTTTAAAAATAAAATCATTTAATGTTGGTTTTCCCTGTAATAATAAAATGTAAAATTTAATAAACCGTTTTTCGTTTTTTTTTTGGCGTAGCTAGTACCGTTTGTCTCCTTGCCCTATCCAAATTTTACTTCGACTTAGATCGGAGACTACGATACTTGGATACTGCTTAAATTAATCAATACAACAAAACAACTACAAACAGTGGTAACTACCTTGATGTGCGGCGCAGCGAATAAAGCATTAAGTACCCAAGCAACGGTGCCGTCCCCACCTGCGACCAACANTTTTTTTTTGGCGTAGCTAGTACCGTTTGTCTCCTTGCCCTATCCAAATTTTACTTCGACTTAGATCGGAGACTACGATACTTGGATACTGCTTAAATTAATCAATACAACAAAACAACTACAAACAGTGGTAACTACCTTGATGTGCGGCGCAGCGAATAAAGCATTAAGTACCCAAGCAACGGTGCCGTCCCCACCTGCGACCAACACACGACATTTCTCAGGGAGCCACCGCACCACACTTTCAGGGGAGGTCACGCTTACGTCAATCACCTGTTTAAAATTAAAGCGATTCTGCATTTACATTACATTACAGTTATAAGTCATATCAAATAGTATTGTTACGCCGGTAAGAGTAACGATGGCACGGAGTCAGTTATATCGGACTACTCGAAGCGAAACAGCGAACGGATCACCTAAGGCGAAGCGGAAAAAGTGATTTGAGAATTTTAAAGTGTTCTGCAAGTGTTTCGCGTATCCCGAAACTTAGCGCGTAACAGTATGCATTTGAAAATAATAAGTCAGGCCATAAAGATTAAAATTCAATAAAACACTGACATTACGTTTGAATTTCGAATCTGTCACTATCAATTTTTTTAACTTTTCATCGGCTTGATATTAGTGAAGTAGGTATTTTGTTTAGCAGGCTTATTTTATGATCCATCGCATACACAGGTATGTATAGAAGATGTTATACAATTCGATTTGAAGCATGGAACAGCCGTTATACAATACAATTGAGACTTCAGCCCTATGTCTAATGGTGGGCGGCAGCCATCATTTCGTGCTTTCTATTAGCTCCAGTAACTATTTCAAAGCAAGTGAGCTCACTCATCCCACCCATTTGATATTGACTTTTCATATTGAGGCCACATTCATGTTTCTAAAGATTTTGGTAACCTTATGACAGTATGCAATGAGCAGTAACATCCGTTCAACTGTTCTAATAATATGGAAGTTTGAAAAAAAATACCTGAATTGGATTGAGTAATCCTCTAAATAATGAAAGTATCTCATCACTCCTGTTGCTGCCGGATTTCCTGTTTGCTAAAATAAAATAATTACTTATGTGATAACAGGTCACATTACTAAAATCATACATTTCAAAAGAAGTTGTTATGAGGAACATGCAATACCAATAATGATCAGAGGTTCCCAATTGCTGTTATTAACCGGCTGAATACTAATAACATTGCCTTTCTCCATTTGTACTGATGTGGGTGGAATGATAATATTGCTATATTTATGGAAGTCACATTGCTGAAAAATAAATCCAAAAATATTACTTTGGCATGAACAAAAAGTAATGATCTGTTAACTGTATACTATGTATTTTGTCCCTCAAATGCTCTTTGAAAAGTTTATAATCAGAAGTTTTACTTGACATTAACTCCATATAGATGGGTCAGAAGCATTACTCTTTAGCCACAAAGAAACAAGGAAGAAATAATGATTTTAATTAAAAATTGAATTGACCTAGAACGACACATAGTCAATCATATGCTATCGATTCAGTAATCATACATTTTATCACATACTTCACTTTACAAATATTCATTAATAGTTTTCCTAAATTTATCATCAGATCCTAAGTAATGTTAAAAGCAAAATCTTGACCTCTAAAAGAATTGTTTGTCAGATGTCTTCAAATGTTTGTTTCTAGTATTTACATTTAAATTGTAGAGGCAGCTGCCATACAACACAAGATATTTGACAGATGCCTGAATCTCCCTTATGACATTTTCAAGATAAGCTTGCATATATATAAGTTCTGATCAATAACATTGGGACCATCAACCTACTGAATATTTTCACCCATTCAGTGAAAGATCTTCCCTTTGTCGTTAAACCTCTCAAAAAATCAAGAACTGTAAAAAGACTGACTGGATCTGCAACCTCATAGTCCAACTATCTAAAGAAATCAAGTAAAAACCAGACATTACAATTTAGGTTGTCTGCCCCTCTTTTTCCATTTACGTTCATTGCTCATATTTTTTTCTTAGCTACGAACAAACTTTTGGCAAACCTGGTAATAAGGGAATATCATCCACCCACCATGAGACTTGAAGTCAAATTTTCAATAGTATCGTATAACAGCTGTCCCACCTTCCAACTAGAGCGTATGACTGGTTTGCAGCAGAAATAGGCGGTGTGTTAGAAACTAGCTATGCAAGCCTATTCTCTAGCCAATTTATTTTGTTAAGTTGGCTTCATTAAAGCATTGTTTCTCTGGTTAGAGTAACAATCTTTCTAACAGTTCTGATTACAATATGCATAGACAAAACACACAAATAAAACAATAACAAGAATCAACATGATGAATTCCATTGGTGTGGTGTCAATTATTACACTGTATTCTTTAGTTCATGCATTTTAAGACTTTTTAAGAGTAGCTATATAGTATCTTTACCTCAGTTTTCAAATCCCTAGTATTATTACACAACTTTATTCTTTGGCACCAGCTACAAAAATATTTCTTAGTACTATCATCACTATGATCATTATTTTCAGCAATGTCTGTTCTTGAAATTCCAACTGAAATGTTTTTATTAATTAAGAAAACAACCATCATAAAACATCAGCTAAAAATGCATATTGTAAAAATGTTTTTAAAATTATTTTTAACTTTTAAAACATAAAATGAAACCAACCATCAACCCACTGATGAGGAAATATTTTATTAGAAGGCCATGTTAATTGTTTACATTTATATCTCTTATCCACTGTCTTGTAGCATTTCTTGCATGCACTAACTGCACAACACTCACAAAACAATCCAACTACAGCCAACATAAGTTTCTCACAAACTGTACACTGAAATCAATTAAGTACATTTAATGAAATACACTGAAATCAATTAAGTACATTTAATGAAAAACATTTAACTATATAATTTTTAAGAAATTAAACTGTTGTTATAATATCATTAGGTATACTGGTGATTGTGCAAATATTAGAAGTTTTAGGAATTATGTTTTTCTAGCCTATCATTCTATTGAGCTAAGCATATAATGTGTATTACTCAGTGATACACAATGTTAATGCTTTCATGAGTGTACATAATTAGCAACCTGGAAGCAATGTTAGAAGCATATTTGTATTCTATAAACCTGTCAAAACATTAACATGTGTGCTATTCTGGAAATGGGTGGGAAAGATATTACAATAGTTTTAGGTAGTACAATAGTTATGTTAGACCTTTAAAGATATAAAATGAGTTTTGGAGTTTTCTAGATTTTTAGCTACCTACTTTTACATGGTTATGCAAGATCACGACCCATCTGGTACTAAACAGTAACTTAAGCGTTGAGATAACAGAGTGTATGTAAACGATAAACCTATATTTTAATTACAAAACAAAGTGCATATTTTACGTAAGTTACGTTTTTTTTTTTTTTTTTGTGAGATACGAGACTAAATTCGGGACCTCCATATCAATACCTCGGTTCCAATAGTAAAGAAAAACCACTTAATTCTAAATTACAAATTTTCACTTACGTATATATTATAGGGGATTGACTTATTACACTGAATACTTCTCCAAGTATGACCATAAGCTCTGTATTGGGTTTGCATAAAATTATTTTGTACTATCAATGAATAAAGTATACGAAAAGCCAAATACATCAAAAATAAACCACCAGTAGCAAAGTAATAAGCTGTAACGCTGTCATAATTAATAAAGTGTTCCATTTTCCTTCAAATTATTGTATTTTTACGAAAAAGTATACATTCAATCAATAATTTTGCAATTTAACTGACAACAGTGGTGTGTAACTCGGGAGTGACTAACTCAAAAGATATATATCAACGCGAAGAATGATTAGATCCGTAATAATCCGTATATCACTAGCGTTCAAATTGCATCTTTATGTCTTTAAATATAAAGTTCATACCTTTTCGCACGATGACTGAGAATGAGAAAATTTGCCCGCGCACTGCGCATGCGTTGTAAGTAAATAAGGTCGAATATAGTAAGTGGCAAGTCATTATAAATCGTATTCTCAGAGTTTTATAGTCTAATTTGGATTGAATGTAATCATATATATATCGACGCTTGAAAGGCAAACGTGACAAAGCGACAATAACTGCTTTATACATAAATGATAGGCAAATAACCATATTTATCCGCAAAAAAATATATTTCTAGGTTTACTAAAATCATTTCAATCCTACAGCTAGATTCGTTAAAATAGATTTTTTTTCAGGTATTTCAACTTTGAATTAGTCTACTGTAAAGTTCACGCATTGTTGCTTAGTCACGTTTGCCTTTCAAGCGTAATAAATAGTTATTAATGTTTTATTTATTATTCGAATTTGTGTTCAGGTTAAGGAATTATTTTAATTTGTGTATATTTCTTTTAATTGATTATGTTATTTTTTTATAAATATTTACGAGGACTTTCAATAAAGAAGACCAATACCTGTATAAATAAACTAGTGTAATTATTATAAGTTTCTATAAAACGTTGTACCCCCAAAAGAGTATAAAAGATATGTTTATTAGACGTAGCTATTTCAACATTTGCAACTAAGTTGACATTCCTAAGCCTTTCAAGTACGAAGGGAAATTAGACCGCTATTTGCATTTTACAGAGTTAATATCACTATAATAACTCATCTTGTCTGCAATTTTCATTATTTATTCACTTTATGATAAAGCGTTAAAGATATAAAAGAATGATATATATCTTTGTGTCCAAAAGATTTATATCTTTGTGTCCAAAAGATATATATCTCTTTTTCTACTAATAATAGTGAGTGATTTTGCCCATGACTAACTGACAGCAGTAGTTTCTTAATTAATTTTCCAACACGAAAGGCAAATCACACCATACAGCCTATTATTTTATTTAAACTGTTTTATGAAAAAATAGAGTGAAAATTTTATGAAATGGACGAAATGAGATTAAGTTGAGACTGTAATCAATTGGAATAAAATTCAGTGGACTTTTTGGAAGAATCCGAAAAACTACGTCCAGCGGCTATGTTTCTTTTTCCCACACTTTGGCACTTTCACTGGTGCTAAAGAGTAAAGTCCCCCTTTTATACATTTAAACCTGAAGTTGGTAACAGTAAAGGAGCAAAATTAAAATAAAATTACACAACTTTGAACGTCGCGTTTCCGCAGAAATGAACACTTATTATTTCAAAATATTTTTCAGTGCTGATTAGAGGTAAACTTCCATACTGTGTGACATTTAAGAAAGAACCTTGCATAAAGTTAAAGTATCTTTTAGTTCTTTTGAATTAAAGATAATTTTAACGGTTATTCTCTATTTTATTGAAGTGAAACTTCTTTAGACGGGTTGAGAGTAAAATTTAACTCGCGACAGATTCGTTACGGTTAGAGAGAAAAGATACAATTTAGGAAGAGCGAGAGTCAGAAAATAGACCAAGGCGTCTCACATACCACTCCACCGTGGAGAGAGGGAAAAGACAAAGCGAGCTTGGTCGTTTCTCTTATGAACAGCATTCCCTATTACAAGAGAAATTTGATTTAAGGATGAAAAATGTGACATAATTTAAAGATCTTAGTAGCAGTCCAATCTTTAAATCGCAGAGCACAGGCAGTTACGAAACAATATACTAACACACTATTATAAATTAGAATTAATTACGTGGATGTTTAGGAATTTTTTATCGAAATATCAGTTGTGTTATTTTGTTTTACTTCACGAACCGACAGCCTTTTTTTTCACTTTTGAAGACACGTATTGTCACTGCTGTCTATGTATATGTTTTCTTTTTTTTTGTTAAGGACTTTCTATATCTATCAACTCCAATAAAAAGGAAGAAAACCACTATACTAAAACTGCGAAAGAAGTTTCACTTCCTTCACGTACATCAACCTACACGCGCGCAATTTTTTCTTCCCTAGCTAGCATTAACGTGAATGAGTTTCAATAAAATAAAAAATTGTTTATAAGAAACAACAAATATATTAAAAAGAAAACTAAATGGCTCTAAAATTAAAAGATTCAGAAAATCGTCCTTTTTCATCTTTTCCAATCTGAAAGTTCTCTTTAATTTAACGATTTCTTTAAGGCGGCGCATCCCTCGGTACCGAAATGCTCATCACTACCAGCGGCGTACGGCAAAATACCATAGACCTATATAGTAGGGACACGACATATTGTTCTATACGTACAATTGCTTATATAAATAGCACCCATTTTGAAGGCACATACATAAACATATATCTATCTCGCTCTTACTCAGCACTTTAACTCGCAGGAAAACAATATAACAGTATTTCAGTGCGTACATAAAATGAAACATGAATATACGTAAATATCTCCGTCTCCGTCTAATGAGGCCGAAAATCCGCCATGTTTAGCGCGCCAAATGTCATTGTCACGTCAGTTCGGCCGTCTGCTTTGGGTTGTACATTATTTATTGACTATGATATCGATTTAATATGATTGATTATATAAAATTTCATAATTTATCATGCTTAAAACATAGAAAAATAATAATTAAAACGTATTTTATAGGATCTCAAGAAAGTCGATACCCTAAAACTATTATCTATATGTATTTAAATTCATTATGGAGCCCTCATCCGAAAAATCCATTTTTCGGTCGGAATCTATTGATCATGACACTAATCATAAATACCACTTTAAAATATGTCATCAAAACATATTTAGACATTCTGTTTAGATATTTCGGGAAAAAGGCTACCGACAAAATCTCTTCGGAACTATTTAAA